ACCATAGGATAAACATTTTTTGCTTGGTATCTTTGATCGTATTTCACTATGAAAAGTTCCTAACTGTAGACCTATACAAATCATAACAAATCATTACTTTAATCGCTTCAGTTTTACAAAAACGTTTCCGTAGAAAGACTCGACAAATTATATTTTCAGTAAAAGGTAAAAAAGGTAAAGTTGTCCCTGTGCATAACTAATTCAGCACTACTCCATGAAGGCGTATGGGGCAGTGGATATATAGATCAATATTTTCTTGACCTCGGCACTAGTAGGTGGTAAGTGGTCAGTTTCACGCCCCTGCCGCTTTATCCCCGGGGACAGAGTCCCCGGCATCCATTGAATAGGAGGTTTAGTGGGCCCCAAAGCACGTCTGGACGCTGTGGAGAAAATTCTTGACCCTACCGGGACTCGAACACCGACCCCTCGGTACGTCCAGCCTGTAACCAGTCGCTATACTGACTTCGTTATCCCGGCTCCTCATTATATTTTTAGTTTAGACTAACAATTAGATTTAAATTATTCGAGGAGGAAAATTACGTATAGTTTAACGTTTTCTACAAGATATATGGAGAAGGAAAGTAAGAGCGCAAAATGACAATAAATGTACTGCGACAAATAGCCACGGAGCACCTGCAAAGACCTTCACGTTCACGGTATATAACCTTACCTTTCCTTCTGACATTCTAGTGAGATTCGATCATTTATTTCTTATAGCACTGATAGCTGGTGAAAGTCACTTTATTATAATGTTGGCCGTGGGTTAAAAGGTGTAGAAACTGCATACATTTCACATGAATGCATAATGACTGATTATTCTTTAGGTCACTTAACGAACGTTGCTTGCCTGTAGAGACAATAATGTACGGCGCTGAAAAAAAAAAGTGGAAGGCATCGAGCGTCGCGGTCGAATGGATTGTACACCTGCCTCACGTTCGGGAAATTCCAGGTTCAAATCTCGATTGGGATACCGGCTGTCCTGATTGAGGTATTTCGTTGCTTTCCTCAGTCCCTTCAGGCAAATTCCGGTCAGTACCTCAAATTAGGTCATATTCCACATTCTTCTCAATTCATTATTCAGTAATCATCCTGCCATTCGACGCTATATAATCTGAGGTAATGAGAACGCCATTAAATAAACTTTTTTTCCCCCTTGGGACTACAGCCCCAGTGGGCTAGACCTATCTCCATGAACTTCTCCGTCTAAATAAACTATACGCCTAAATAAATAAGAAATTCATCATGAGCCAATAGATGGGGATTTGGAAGGAGGTTGTTGTGGCCCATTTGAGAACAGACCTATCACTCCGATACTAATCTAGCGACACGGGGAGAAAAACCTTAGTCAGGATAGCCGTGACCTGGTCGAGATTCGAAGTGCATACCTATCAGATACAAGTCTCGAGCATCACTGCTACATCAGTCTGCCTGGGACGCCTGCTTTAGAGATCAGATACCTGATCGCGAAACGAAAATGTCCACATTTTATGAAGATTATCTTCTTCTGCCCCTGTACTTAATTACGTAATTACGCACTACGCCATGAAAACGTATGGGGAAGTGGATGTATAGATCCACACATTCTTGACGTTGGCACTAGTCAAAGGTGAGTGGTCAGCTTTACGCCACGGCCGCTTTACCACCCGGGAAAATGTAACTGGTACCCATTGGATAAGAGGCTGGATGGGTTCCAGAATCGGTCTGCATGACGTGGAGAAAAGAAATATCTTGCCCCTGCCGAGACTCGAACTCCGACCCCTCGGCCGTCCAGCCCGTAGCCAGTCGCTATACCGACTGCTCACTAACCAAACTGAAATTAGGACTCTTGCCCCAGGGAGGTTCTGGTTGCTATCGGCGACATCAACATAACAAGGAGCAAACAACAATTCTGTTCTTCCAAATTGGTTGCTGGGTAATGCTAAAATTGTTAAGAACCAATCAGAAATAATGAATAAAGAGACATTTCACAATCAGCACACCACACCGAAATTATTATTCGAAAGGTGTTCCGTTTTGTTCACTGCCTCAAATATTTAAGCACAGTTCTGGAGAAGAAGATAGGTCTATCAATATTCGTCCTTTTTTTTTATAGGCAGGACGACAAAGTATTCATTCACAAGCGCCATAAAAACGTTACCGCAAAAATGTCTCCGGATATGCTCGCTGAGTGTGGTCCAAAATTCAGACCACAGGTGTACGCTTAGGAATGCTGACTAAAGACTAATGTCTGCTAATGTTAATTACCTGAAGAAAAATACGTTTCTCGGAACTCCCTTAATAAGCCATATTGTAAGTTACTCAGTGATCTCAAGGTGAGGCTGCCAGCCTCGTGTTCTACTCGTAATGATCATTAGGAATTTCCATTGCTTTTATCAATCATTCTGGACCCACTATTGATTTGACTTGACTTAATTCTTTTAGTTTCGAGTGGAACATGGGGTTCCTGTGAAAATTCTCCAGCTTCTCCTCTGGTTTGCCAATGCCTTAACCTTCCTCCAGCTCTTTCCCATCTCTGACATTTCCTCTTCTCTGTATCCACTATTATTTATCATAAAATATTTCTAATGAGAATCGACAATCCGTTTAAAAATATTTAATAATTCTTTAAAATGTGCAATGGTTTGTTAACATGAATGGGGTACTTCGTGGCTAACTTCAGTCGAGACAAATATTAGCGTACCTCTAAAAGGCAACACGATTACCAATAACCACGTGTAATTTCATTCAGCAGCAGTTCGTCAGAGCATTTGAACCGCGTGCCTCAGGCCCATGTTTATTCCTTTCAGAGTCATGTATAATTTTTGGTAAACGTAACTGCTTTGAATGTCAATTTCTAAAAAAATATAGTTATTCCATGCTCACTACCACCAGCGTTCTTGAGTACCCAAAATTTTAGTTCTCCCCGCAGCCGAAACCATCAAATCCTGTTAGACAGAAATGTACAAAACCAAGGTAGAATACACAATCGAAAGTCCCCCTGTATATTGATTCTCAACATTCATGCTCCTTAATAGGGACCTTGCAATTATGGGTTAGAGGGCAGGTTTCTTGTAATTAACCTTGTTTAAACTGAATGAATATAGGCCTATGTTGCGACCGAGTGTAGCGATATAAATTAGGTACATCCAACGTAGATGGACTGTTTAAAAATGCAGAGCCTATATCAGTGTATCGCAACAGGTGGGACGCGTCCAACTGGTGAGACTTGATGGTTGGCTGGATGGGATGTGACGTCTCTAAACTAATAAGCAATTCAGTGACATAACATTAAATTAAACAAAAACCTTCCTCTGTTCCGGGAATGCTTTCCCACAATCTGTCTTGAAGAAGACCAAGTCAGGGTACTCACCGCTAATAGAACTGTATTGTTTTTATATAACCATAGCAACAAACTGCAGGCCGATTACGAGTATAAAAAAATTCTTATAATCTCTTAAGTTCTTATTAGCGTCCACTAATGATTAATACAATAATATACTATAATACTAAAATGTGTATAATTGTAGAAGTATATTATTAGAAGAAGGCTTTGTTTTGCTGTGGTGAGACTACAAGCCTGTTTTTGACAAAATGGCCGATGGGCCGCAAGATACATAAGGATGAAAATTGCTGGTCTACACAACATGTCTCGCATCCGAATACTGCAATCGATTACAAATGGTGAGAAGAAGAACACTCGCTTCTTCTTCTCGGGGCCTCCGTATGCACATTATTGGAATTTAAAAAGAACTGTCAGCATGTGTTGTTTCATATTCTTAAGTCAAGACGCCCAGGTCATACAGGTTGTTAGTTATTTAATAGATACACCAATATTTGCTCACTGCTGTTGTTTCTTACGGGATCTGGCGTAGTGAAGATGTTGTATTGCGACGCGCTGTCATTTTGGCCACTGTTTTATTGGTGACCGTCAATCTGAGGCAGTAAACGTTGTTTAGGCATGGGGGAACGGAAGGGAAGTGCCTTATGTTTTGCAATAAACAACCACTTCTCTGCCTTTTTCATAATTTTTCTTTAGAGTAAAGTTTCGCGTTCTACCTCCATGGTTAACCATAATGGTGACGACGATGATCACTCGAAATTTCTATGGTCTTTGCATAGAACATAAGAATAGGAAAACTCACGTGGAAAGAGATAACTTCTAAGGCTAAGATTCGAATGCGAATAGCCTGTAATACCGGTACATATTAAAATGGATCTTGACGGATATAGGATGTGATTATGTACTTAAATTAAAATGAATCAGTGTCCGTAGTTATTTGCTGTAATGGGCCGCGCCATAACTCAAGCGGTTAGTCGCTGGTTTCTCACCGCGGCGGCCCGGGTTCGATCCCGGGTCTGGTCAAGTTGGATTTGTGGTGGACAAAGTGGCGCTAGGGGCAGGTTTACTCCGAGTACTTCGGTTTCCCCTGCCAATCTTCATTCCACCAATTGCTCCACAATCACCCTCACCTATCATCTGGGGCTGGTACAATAGGCCAGAAGTGGCCACATTACAAGGGACTTAGTCCCACTCCACTAGCACTAAAGAAAAAAGTATTTGCTGTAATGGTAATATATCGTTGATTCCCTTAAGTTGGTGAAAGTCAGAACTTTATACCGGTTGTTGTATTTGAAGGTCTCATAATTTTATCTCAAAACAATTTTCGGAATGCCAAGTACCTATGACACCATCTACTTCTAGTTTAAGCTAAAAATGTGTCAAAGAATAGCTGTAAGGTAACAAAATGGTACGGCTTCATTTGTATCTTAATTGGAGCAAGATTTCGCGCCATAATAATCGTATGTATGGCTAGTATGTTTGGCCAAATGGCTTCCCGAGTACGTATTACTTTTCGGGCCAGGGGGTTGTTCAAATTATCAACTTAAAACAGCTGTGTCCCAGTGAGAAAGTACTTCTATCATCATTCAAATGCATCATTAATATCTCATACAGTATCTTCATCTATCATTATGAATTTCGAAAGCGCAAGTCAAGTGACATAATCTGTTTACTGTTTCAGATGCAACAACTACAATTAACCCGGATGCTGGCGTGCTCTCTGTTCGTCAGCATGATCATCGCAAGTTTATTAACAGGTCCTTCGTCGGGGCTGGTTCTCGGACATTCACTTAATAAACGCTCCTTCTTCGAAATTCAATGCAAAGGTGTCTACGACAAGAGTATCTTCGCAAGGCTGGATCGAATCTGTGAAGACTGTTACAACCTTTTCCGGGAACCTCAACTTCATTCCCTTTGCAGGTATACAGACCCACTCTTCTGTTTATATTTCAATCAAGTAAATATATGAGTTCCTTTAAAGGAAGAATGTGTATTTGTACCACTCTCTCGACTGGTAACTTTCGCTCTCGGTCCTTGTATCAGTATATGATAGTCAGCTGAATAAGAAATAAATTCGTTACTCAAAAAATAATTATTTTGCGATATAAATTTTACGGCCATTAAACAACCGAAATTGGTTGCGTGTGTCTAATATGTGATGTCTTCGATGTACATCAGAGTAGCTAGGCATTAAATATTTATTTAATTCATATACCATTAGCATTGTTCCCGAACTAAAACGTTTACGAACGCATTAAGTGACGAAATTATATTCATTTTACACCCGAGAGCACCTATATAAGATATAAATTTTAGCTCCATATCTACGAATATCTTCTTCATACCTGTGACAGAATAAATAATTTATTTTTCGAGCATTCCCAAATCGAAAAAGAGCAATACCCTACTCGATCATGTAATAATTAACGAAATTTCTTGATGACTCAAGAACCGAACTGGTGTACAAGGCTGACATGCATGTGCATTTGATAATGCAGCTGGGGGGGGGGCTGCAGCAGTGTAAGATTTCTGGGAAGCACCCTTCACACTGATTACCTTACATACCTCAAATAGGAGTTTTCTCTATAATATGCTTGTAAAATTTCAACTCACTTCTGATGACATTTTTAAGTGCAATGTGGAAACTTCTAATTCAGAAATTAAATGTTATATGTTGGTTTTGCAAACTATAAGAAACGCATCCTTATATATCAGTAATTAAGTAATAACAATACATGCACTCAGTGTCTGAATTTTGATTAAAGAGGAAGCTGAACGTTTTATCCAAAATTAACGATTAAGCCCACTCATGTTAAACTGAAATATATTTTACGCACATTGGGAAAATGGGATGGTATCAGTTCAACCAAAATTAATGCAAAAGAGCACCTCACATCAAGCTGATTTATAAAACGAAATTCATCTGAATTAACAAAATATATCATAATATCATATTTATCCCTCAAAAAGATTACTATATGGATTTCATACGCTAAAACAAACCTTCGAAACTTTTATATCAAAGGCCACATTCACTCTAGTCTGGTAGAAATGTGTTAGTGATACAGAGAAGGATTCATCTGCAGTGGACACTTTAAAGTGAACTGAACACCCCACTGAAATGTGTGACCTTCTGTGAATATAATGTGGATCAAGAGAAAGTAGAGCTCTGAAAGTCCTTTTATCTTTGCACAAAGATCTACACTGACTTCGAATCATATTGTGGCAATAGAAGGGACTTTGACCTTACCCATTTCTCAGCAAAGTTTTCCTTAAACTAAACCTAAAAAATTGTACCAAAAATAAAATGTCACCAAAGGCAGCATTACCCAACAGGGGAAATCAATGTCTGAGAACAACCATAGATAATTAGTTCTTTATAAGGCTCTTGTCATAAATATGTTACCTTAGTCTAAGCTTGTTATTGTTATAGCAGTGATGATATATATATATCAGCACTGCTAGTTTTATTCAACTGACAACAATCAACACATCACCATTGTTCTCTACACCAAGCACATAATAAACCAATCACAAAGCACATATATTTAACTGTCTCTCAGTCCATACCTTTCAGCTTGCAAACCATCTAGAGGGTTCTAACGAAATTTGGTATGGAAGGTGTAAATGAAGAGGGGTCTGTGAATTTTATTTTAGTCTGTAATTGTCTGCTGTAATTCTTATCGGACAGGAAGCCACAATCAAATCAGTTTTCAATGTCATGCATATTTAACAAAATACAATTACAATTTGAATTTACTCTATTCAGTGCAGTATTATTATACTGCTTACCTCTGCCAACAATAGGTTTATACCTACAATAATGCACAGTGAGGGATATAAAATTTCAAAGAAGTCATCTGGAAGTTTTGTGGGCTCTAAACAAGAGGACAACTTTCCAGTCATATTATGTAAGTCACATAATGTTCACAGCTGTTTTACTTCTTTCCAGGAAAAACTGTTTCACAACAGATTACTTCAAAGGCTGCCTGGATGTGCTTCTTCTTCAGGATGAAATGGAAAAATATCAGACGTGGATAAAACAGTTACATGGGGCAGAACCAGGGGTTTAGGTACTTTTGTTTGGTTTTTAGTTGTCATTATTATTATTTACTATTATTATTCTCCTTTGAATTACCTTCTGATTTATTTATTTTTCTTGTCTTTTAAGTTATTATTTTAACTATGTCTCAGTAAATGAGCATTAACACTGAAAGAAATTTACATTTCAGTTATTTAACTAATTAATTAAATTACAATTGTATTTATTCCTTTCTTGTTGTCTCAACTGTTTCGTAAAAATTTGTTGCATTCATGTCACTAATATAACTACTAAAATTTGATTTTAATATTCAAAGGAAACGAACATTTTTGACATCTTGTGCATATTTTTTCTCTTAAGAGTAAACAAAATTTTCATTATTATTAAAACATATTTTTTTTTTAAATAACATTAAAAATATAGAAGATTAAACATAAGTCAATGTTTTTTCCTTGTACATTTTTGCCTCAGACTTTTTTATATGTGTATTTTTATTTTTATTTTCCCTTACATTGGTTTTTGTTGGAGGGAGACTAATTTTTTGATTTTTAGTCCTGCCCTTCAATCTTTCATGGCAGAAAGGATTTTTGATTGCCATTACAGTGCTGCACATGGAATTTTTACATTTCTCATGTCATTTGAGAATATCTCATCAGTACCACCTAACATAATAATATTCATTTCAGATCTAAATGCTTCAGCAGTGATTACTTCAAGGGATGTCTTGAGGCCTTACTCCTAAAAGAGGAAGAACAAAAATTCAACCAAATGGTTGAGTATGTTGGAAAGAAGTAAGACAGAAGAAAATCCAGCCTATGAAAGTTGTGAATATCAACCACAAAATGACAATGAATGAGAAGGTCCTGCATCTGGGAACTTACACCATTTTATTCTAGTCTTGCAGTTGGGTGGGGGGGAAGGAGAAGAAGAAGAAGAAAGAAGAAGAAAAAGAAGGCAAAGAAGAATTTCTATATGTATGATATTACCACTAGATCTAATTGAGTTTTGCTACAAAAATACTGAGAGATCTGGTTCATGAACATTTTCATCAAAACATGAACAGTGCTTGTTTTTATTATTTAAAGCATTAATTTATTAGTTTCATGAGACATCAGTGTGCATGGAACAAGTATGCATTTTTGCATTTAAAATAAATGACTTAATACAAATACAAATATCATGTAACTTAAAATATAATTAAATTATTTCTTCACTTATAGATAAGATCTTCAGTGCAAGTATTTTTAATTTTAATTTAGATTCCCTTAATTTCGGAGTCCTACTTCCAAATATACATTATAATTGTACAAGAAGGAGAAATGATGTGTATTAAAATTTATCATAAAATGAAGAAAAGCATTATGTATGTTTACGTGATATATATTCTTTTCCATATAATTTACACTTTAAACATTGCCTTTACAATTATAAAGTAACAAAACCTAAAAATTGGATTCCGATTGCACAGTAGTGGGTGATATGAATGTCAAGCTATCATTCCAATGTCAGTATTCTAAAATACCTGAATGAAGACATAGAACCCTTCTGTGATTGTACAATATACATTAAAAAACTGCACAATTCACTCTTCAGTAACTTCACATGATGTGTTAACTGTGCAGTAACATGGAAGACAGCCCAGTTTTATTCTTTTATAAAGTTCTTTCCCATTCTATTGTATTACATTTTAACTAATGCTGTGCCTGACAATAATTATAACTGTTGGTTTAGTTGAACTGTGTGTATGATTGTCTATACTTATTTTCTATATTGTTATTAATTACTTGTTTTTTCTCCATGTACAGTATATAATAGATTATGTTTAATTTATTTGAATTTCTTTCTATGAGTCTCTAAGAAAGTACGGGTTGTGTGAATATAATTACTGTACAATGTATTTTAAACAAAGTAATTTGGTCATATGATTTGATTATTGTCAACTTCGTGACTGTTTTCTTATGTTATAATATTTAACCACTCTGACTATCTATGTTCTTGGAAGACGCACATGTTAGAAGCAGATTTACCAGTAGAACTTAAGTCATCACAACTAAACAAACATGAGATCAGTGAAAGCATCTTCATCTATCCATGCATGATAGTTTAAACAATTTATTTATACACTGAAATATACTTTCTACAGAATGGAGTATTTTCATGTTTTTTATTTGTTGCTCTTTTTATTTTAATGTTAACATTGTATATTAATGTAAAAATATCCGAGAAGGGTTGATAATTCAAAGGAAGTTCTTGGTATTGAAGAAGGTGACATTTTACTACACAAAAGGATAAGCAGAAGCAAAATGTACACCAACAAAAATCTCTCATAAATAATATATTTTAAACCATGCTTCTTTTATCTTTTTTGTCTTTAGTTTAATTATGGGAATCTCATGGTATGTGCTCACCTTCTTCTTCTCCAGCTATTTCCACACTATAAAATTGATTCACTGCAAAACAATGTTAATACACATTTTATTTTGTATACATGTGGCAGCTCTACTATTTAAGAATTAAAATATATTTTCAAACAATATTACTCTTCTTTTCCACCTTCTAAACCAATCCTTTTTCATTACAACATAATCTCATGTATGTAAAATAAATGCATTTGTCACAAACGTACAGCAAATGAGATTCATCCACCCAATCATTTTAGTGTTTGTCAAGGAAATGGATATTACAGGGTGTATTGTGGCATGGGAGGCCAGACCCCCAACCTCAGTGAGCCTCCTACCTTTAAGGAGCTCAAATACAACTCTAAATGTTATTAATTTTGTCAACATGTCAACTCAACTCAATGATGGTGGTGGTGGTGATGACGACGACGATGATGATATAAAAGTAAAAGGAAAGAACTATAATAAATCATATGACATGCCCAGCCTATCTTCTTCACTCACTCACATCATGACATTAATAACAGGAAGTTGTGAAGACAATGTTTCAGAAAGTTTTGCTATTAAATAGTGATATCTGCTTTGCAATCACATAATTTCTAACACTGAAGCACTATCCTATGTACTTTTATTTTACTATATGAGTATTGTCACACTATTGCAAGAAACCAAGCTTCAGACTCACATATAACTAACTTCACAGAGTTAAGATATTCTTGAAAGGTGCCAGTTGTGCAGCTACTCAAGAACTTCCCAACATTTTATGGAACCTGATGGTTCATTACCATGTTCACAACAGTCCACTTGTCCCTATCCTTAGCCAGATCAATCCAGTCCATAATACCCAATTCAATTGATTTAAGATCTGGCAAATGGTACAAGTTAAGAAGTTTCTCATTATGCAGTTTTCTCCAATCTCCTGTTACTTCTTATGTCTTTGGTCCAAACAGTCTCCTCAACACAATGTTCTGAAACATCCTCAGTCTATGTTTCTTCCTTAATGTCAGAGTCCTTCTTGGGAATCTAACAAGGCTTCAGCTACTCAAGAAATTCCTCACATGTTATGCAACCTGAATGATCAGTAGTGTATGCAGAGGAGCTGGTCCCTATTTAGCACCAATCATATCTTTTTAAGATCCAACTAATACGTAGGTAAGTCAATAAGTAACTTACAAATGGATATAGAACTTAAACAATTAAGAGTACTGATTTGAAAAATGCTTTTATTGTCCAAAGAATTTTATGCTGTTGGTTTTCGGGGGCTTGTGAAACGATGGGACAAGTGCCTCAATGTAGAGGGAGATTATGTTAAGAAATAAAAGCATTTTTCAAATCAGTACTCTTATTTGTTTAAGTTCTATATCCATTTGTAACTTACTTATTGACTTACACTCATACTAGCTAGGAAGCATAAAACATGTAGGACTGAGGTTTTCACAGTGGTGACTATGAAGAATGCCGTCTTGTGGGATGTGGTGCAGTGTACATCTTGTGTGAACCGACGTTTCGGAGGATCGTATTGTCTCCATCTTCAGGGCAAAAAATCCACGAGTGAGGAACCAGCTTGCCACCTGCTCACACTGGTTCCTCACGAGAAGTATGCTAGCCATATACTCAAGCTGGTTCTTCGCTCGCAGATTTTTCTACCATGAAGATGGAGGCGACACGTCACTCCGAAACGTCGGTTCACACATCATCTACATGATGTCTCATCCCAGAAGAAGGTATTCTTCGAAGCATAAAACACTCATGCACAGTCGAACACACAAGATCAGTATCAGACCGAATCTATGGATTCGTTTTAGAACACAAGTGCGTACGCTAAAGCATCAGCGGCCTTACTAGGCCAGGTTCATACCGTATACTATAGTTGCAACTGAAAGGGTGGGAAATGAGTAGTAAGGTTTAGGGGACTGTTAAATGCCAGTAGTTTCAATAGGAACAGTAGTGCATGTTTAAATTCATGAGGGCCATAAACAGCAAAATGATACAAAGCAATTACAACGTGGAAGTTTTAAAAAATTCTTTTAATGCTTACGGCTAATTTCAATACTTCTGCACAATTTTTCTGCTGTACATGTATGATGTACATCCCCCATAGTCGACTTTGGCAAAACAGCCTCTTTTGAGCCACAGCCTTAAAACTTTCTGCCAGATTGCTTCTGGTTTTTATGTTTTCGATTTTGTGACAATCATTTTTTTTACAGAGCAAGGTCGTCAGCTTTGCGTTCATCCCCCAACCTGGAAGGCTAGGTCCCTGTATTTATGTTCACCAGTGACAGTGTGGCCCAGTTATACTCCCAGGCACGAGGTTTCCTTCTGATTACCAGGGCTACACTGGATGTATTTTAACCCACCTCCACACAGGTACATTCCCCATCAGACCTCCCTCTCAAAAGCATGCGACATTTAAGGCCCTCAAGGCAGTGGGTAATTAGGTTACTGTGTTGTGGGCTGTAATGATGTATAATTGAGTAGGCAGGTACCGTCATTTTGCAGGGACCTGCTACCTCCATCTTCAAGGCAGAAATGATATGATGCTGGAACTGCAAGGAACAGGGAATGTACCTTTGGTCTCTGAGCTTTAGATGGAAAGATGCAGCTTGGCTCTCAATTGGCGGTACCTGAATCTGCAGGCATTCTGTACAAGAGTTTCCTCAGGCACTGAAGTAGTTCGGGAATGTGGTCAGAGTGGACCACACACACAGGTGGCTAGGATTTTTTTTAAAGTACGCCAGAAGGTAAAGGCCGCGCCATAGCTCAAGCGGTTAGTCGCTGGCTTCCCACCGCGGCGAACTGGGCTCGATCCCGGGTCTGGTCAAGTGAAATTTGTGGACAAAGTGGCGCTGGGACGGGTTTTCTCCGAGTACTTCGGTTTCCTCTGTCAATCTTCATTCCACCAAATTCTCCATCATCATAATCACCCGGGGCAGGCTACAATAGGCTAATCAGTGGCCGCCGGGCCGAGTGGACCCAGTAGGACTCCACCCCCACTAAGAGAATAAAAAAAACAACAACAGAAGTTACGAGAAAAGTAAAATGGCCTAGACCAGTATTTCCCAACCTGTGGTCCGCGGACCCCTGGGGGTCCGCGAGTAATTCAAAAGAGGTCCGCGGGATAGTATATTTTCATTAAACTTTATCTTATCATGTTCCTCACACCTGTGATATTTGCAATGTATATCTCTGGCTCTTGAGGCCCATGGTTGAAGTAAAATTTAACGGGACTGTTGGTACCGTTACTTCTTCCCTTTGTAAAGCAGAGGTGAATAACCAACGACTTGTGTAGCTTTTTCCAAGGACATTTTCTTTTGGTCGGCCCATTGCATCTCAGACCCGTGTTTCAGGGTGGACTGCTGTCCTAGTACCTGCTGTCCGACCATTCTCCCCTCCTCCCCCACCAAATCCATCCCTCTTTGGTTGGGAATAAACCTGGGACCATTGACCACGTTTCTTATTCATTTCAGTGGCAGAGCGAACAACCCGTGTTTCTTTAGTTTTTGTGCAGTGAATTTTTATAATATTATACAAGTGTGTTTTTCTCGGTGTAATATTCAGTTTTTCTGCTTTTGTTCAAATAATTGAGTTCACAACGAAACTTCTGATTTTCAGTTTGTTCACGATCTTATTTAGATATGGATCGGTGGTTAAAGTGTGGATCATTGAAACGTAAGACAGACGATAATCCGAGTGGATCTAGTGTTGTCGAAAATAGTACCAGGGCAGATAAAGTTCCTTCCCTCAAAAAATCACGCAAATATTGTCCATCTTATTTGCAAATGGGATTTTCCGTTCTGAATAAAGACGGCGAAGACAGACCACAGTGTGTTCTTTGTTGCGAAGTGTTATCGAATGAATCTATGAAGCCGTCGAAGTTGAGACGCCACCTTGAAACGAAACATGGCGAATCAGTTAATAAGCCAATAGAATATTTTCAAAATAAGAAACTGCAACTTTGTGGTTCACAGAATTTAGTTAAGGACATTGTATGTGGAACGAAAAATGAAAAGGCTGTTCTTGCCTCTTAAGAAGTCGCCCTTCTGATCGCTAGAAATGGACAACGCCATACAATCGGGGAAGATTTAATTTTGCCTGCTACAAAAACGATAACAAAGAACTTGTTTGGTGAAAAACATGCCAACGAGGTGTCTCTAATATCGTTATCTGACAATACTGTGAAAAGAAGAATCGACGAGATGGCTCAAAATGTGAAAGATATTTTGCTAGAACGGTTACGTCATAGTGAATATTTTGCGTTGCAGTTGGATGAAAGCCACGATATTTCAAATAATGCTAATTTGGTAGCTTTGGTGCGATATGAACACGAAAATAAAGTTTGTGAAGATTTTTTGTTCTGTGAATCGTTACCTCTTAATACAACTGCTGAAGCCTTTTCAAAGCTGTCAATGACTTCATAACTACAAATACACTTCAATGGGAAAAATGTGTAGGTATCAGCACAGATGGTGCTCAGGCAATGTCGGGAATACATAATGGTTTGGTCGCACGTATCCAGAAAGTCGCACCTCTTGTTAAATGGACACATTGTTGCATACACCGCGAAGTATTAGCTGCACGCCGTATGCCCTCCAAAATGAAAATCGTTCTAGACGAGGCAGTAAAAATTGTCAATTTTATTAAAGCCCGTCCTCTTAACAGCCGATTATTTTCTGCGCTTTGTAATGAAATGGGAAGTGATCACGAACACTTATTATTGCACTCAGAAATCCGATGGCTGTCCCGGGGTAAGGTTTTGACGCGGTTGCTTGAGCTTCGAGACGAAGTAAGGTTGTTCCTCATAAACTCTAAATTTCAGTTAACACACTATTTAAATGATTTCGCATGGCTCTCCTCTCTTGCTTACTTGGCGGACATTTTTAACATCTTGAATACTCTTAACTCGAGCCTTCAAGGTACATCTGTCACCGTGTTTTCTGTGCAAGACAAGATAGAGGCAACAATCAAGAAGTTAAATTTGTGGTGCAGCCGTATCGAGAAAGGAAAATACGATTCCTTTCACATGCTGAGTGATTTCATTGATTCCAGTGAACAACCCCTTTCTAGTGATGTTGCTGAAAGTATGATTGAACATATGAGGTCATTGGCGTCTCAACTACGTCTGTATTTTCCGTTTGGTCTTGAAAATAACGACTGGATGAAAAATCCCTTTGTAGACTCTGAATTTGAACTTCCTTCTGCCGAGGAAGAGCAACTTATCGAGCTGTCCTGTGATTCGACGTTCAAATTGCTGTTTCCTTCGTTACCGTTACTGGAGTTTTGGTTCCAAGCTAGGTCTGTTTACCCTGAAATTTCCAAAAGGGCTGTAAGACATCTGTTGCCATTTCCCACTACATATCTGTGCGAGACAACATTTTCTCATCTTGTACACATGAAAAACAGATATAGGAACAGACTTAACGTGGAGCCAGATCTACGTCTGAAATTATCCAGTTTTGATCCTGACATTCGAAAGTTGACGTCTGAAAAACAGCACCAGCCATCACATTAGGTGAGTGTTAAATTCATAATATTACGCCTAATTGATATGTTCGTAATCTTCCGAATATCTCCATTTGTAACAGTATTTTATTGTCATAAATAACACATTTAGTGTTGTAAAATTTTAAGTTACTGCTTCATTTTTATGATATGTACTCGTAAAATTTAAAAATTTCCATTTTGGGTTTTATGGGGGCCGCGGTGAATTAATATTCGGTACAGGGGGTCCGCGGCATCAAAAAGGTTGGGAAACACTGGCCTAGACTATGGCTGGAAGATGCAGAGAATGGTTTATGAGAGCTGAAAGTGGATACAGACAAATGGCAAATAATAAGGAACAATGGGTATCCCTCATATAGGGAGCCAAGGTTCCTAGAAGTCTGCAGAGCAGAAGCTTAGTTCAAGTGGATCACTGTAGGAGATGAGTGAATATTTGGATGCGACGCCAACTACTTTGGCTCCAACGACTGGCAGGTATCTGCTGCATCCTTCCTCAGGATAGGAGATGGTGGCAGCTAGTTTCTCCAAAACAATCGTCCCTATTCACCAAACTACGCCGGGCCACACTCCCGGTACACCTCAATACATGCCTCTCCCCTAAAGTTTCAACCTTAGAATTATATCCAATGAAAATTATCAAATAATTCGACTTCGGAGTATCAAATAACAACGGTAACCGCCTCCCAGACAACATGGTGCCAATTCTCACTATAATCTAAGAACCGACTAAAGATATTACCAAAAAAAATTATTCGTTTTGGACACTTTAAGAACTTGTCCTCCCTGTTTGGACAGTCTACTGAAGTTGTTACTCAACTAAAGAACCACAACCAGCACAAAAACAAGACATTTGGGATAAGGGTAATCATGGATTGATGGAAAACAAGTTGAAAATGTACACCGTCACTACCGATTTCCCTGCCATCTATGCTCTAGTCTAGGTTAAACAGTCTTCTATTAGGCAACAGGGAAACCTCATAGCGCAAACGTTGGCAGCACAGTCCATGAAATGGTAAATTAGTATTCCTCACGTTACAGGACTGTCACCTACCACACTACAACACGATGAACAAGTTGTCATACGCGAGAAGGCCACAAAATGACATTCACTTCTCTGAAAATCTCGTAGAATTTTAACAGAATGCCTTTTATGTGAAAGAAAGGACTTTTGCGGAATCCAGATAAAGTTTAAGAGTTTATATACGTGTATTTATTTTGCATCATGTTGTAATAATGAAGAAATAAACTGTAAAACATTTTTCGATAAACCTTCAGTCAGTAGACGCTCAATTAACCGAGGGCAGGATATACGTGGGCTTCGTTTCCAAAACTGACAGGTGTATCCAATGTCAAAAGATAAACATCGTATGAATTTTTTTTTTTAAGATACAAGAGTTCAGTCAACCCGGTCAACCCCTCTCCCCTCTCTTCCTGCTCTTATACAGCTGGGTTGACTTAACTCGACATTAGTCTGCTAGCACCTGCTTACTTTGGTTCCTCACTCGCGGATTTTCTTCTTTTTTCTTCTATCCTGAAGATGCAGGCGATACGTTCCTCCGAAATGTCGGTTAACATAATATCTACACGGCGCCACATTCCAGAAGACTGCTTTCTCCGTAGTTACATATTCCTTTCACTTATTGTCCGTGGTTTCCGGTTATCACAAGAAATTAGTTTCCCATCCAGCCCGGATAATCGGCGGTTTACTATACGATGACAACTACACTTATAAAATTCCTACTATGAAACGAAGCAAAATCAGATTTCATGTTATTGTGTTCGACGCACCTATTCGTCGTTTATGAAATACTTACCGGAATCCCTCGACAACCGCTAAACACCAAGGTCGCCAAGATAAAATGCTTAAGAGTCAGGAGAACTGGGACCGCTGGTAATACTAATTAAAGCAGATGCCTGAACTGGTCTAGAAATCAACCGAACCAATGTTCCTAAAAAATTACAAACCTATTAGAGAGTTTGGTACAATAGGCCAGAAGTGGACGCAGTACAAGGGACTTAGTCCCATCCCACTAGCAATAAAAAAAAACCTATTTGACAGAAGACGTAACACCCAACCCCGCATACATACACACACTCACAAATTAGCACTGCGGTGGTAATCTGGAAGCTAGGAAACTGGTTCTGAATGTCATTACAGCCCTACTCCCGGCAAGAGTGTATTCGCTTAGTGGAGAGTGGAATCCAGCTGGGTCCACTCGGCACGGCGGCCACCGATTGGCCTATTGTTCCTGCCCCGGGTGATTATGATGATGGAGAATTTGGTGGAATGAAGATTGGCAGGGGAAACCGAAGTACTCGGAGAAAACCCGCCCCAGCGCCACTTAACCAGACCCGGGATCAAAGGCGGGCCGCCGCGATGGGAAGCCAGCGACTAACCGCTTGAGCTATTGCGAGGTCTAGCGGTAAGATTGTATCTCTCAGAGTTAAAGATACCGAGATTTTTCTTTTGCATATATATTAAAATTCATAATGTATAAGGGGTGGGCATTCTCGGTCCTTGCACCGCGACCTACAGTGGTCTATTGTGCTTAAAATTCGTAGATACTCGTATATCAAACCAGTGCTTTCTCAGCATCAGCGCATACCAGCATTTTCCGGTGCACTGTATGCTTCAACTCTACGCCAAAAAAAAAAAAAANAAAAAAAGTCACGAGAGTACCTGAAAATGTGTCTTTAGAAAGTAGAGCTATAATAAACCAAGTATAGATAGCAGTTTGCAATGCTGGGTGCAAATGGAAAAATCAAGGATTCTAGTTATCTGCGGTTGGCAAAAGAAATCTTAATAAAAACATCATTTACTTTAAGCTACAGGCTACAAAATAAATCACTGTCTTTTGCTTTTATCACTATATTATCATCAGTTTCATCACATATAGTTCCTTATTTAAATTTCTACAATTATTTTGCATTCTTCTGTCCTGATAAATCATAATTATACATAAATTCCTACATCTAGTGTCGACCATGAAAAGTACTGGAACACTGGAGCTAGATCACTTTATACTACGGATCGGCGGTTAACCTCCAGTCGTAAAGTAACTCTGACATTGTTACTTACTTACTTACTCATGGAGCTGAGTCCTTCTGGAGGAGCCGCCAATTCAGCAACTACTCAAGAATTTCCCAGCATTTTATGGAACCCGAAGGTTCATTACCGTGTTCACAAGAGCCCTCCACTGGTCCCTACCCTGAGCCAGATCTATCCAATCCATACCATCCCATCCTATCTCTGTAAGATCCATTCTAATATTGTCCACCCACCTACGCCTTGGTCTTCCCTGTGGTCGCTTTCCTTCTGGCTTTCCTACCAATATCCTACATGCATTCCTCGTCTCCCCATTCGTGCTACATGACCTGCCCACCTCATCCTCCTTGACTTGGTCATTCTAATTACACCTGGAGAAGAGTACAAGTTATGAAGCTCCTCATTATGCAGTTTCCTCCAACCTCCTGTCACTTCATCTCTTTTCGGTCCAAATATTCTCCTCAACGCCCTGTTTTAAAACACCCTCAGTCTATGTTCCTCCCTTAACGTCAGAGACCAAGTTTCACACCCGGACAGAACAAAAATTATCTTGTCATATCTATGCAAGCGGTACTGTCAAACATTTGTATATACCGTTAATAACAATATATTTTAATCATAAAGCAATTCGTGCAATAAAAAATTCGAAGTAAATGGAGGTTCTGTACTTACAAGTTTCGCAAGTATAACCTCACACCATACCAAATAGCGCTAAGTAGCCACCAACGAAAAGAAAATGAATTCCTGGAAAATGGTCTGTGACTGTAAAATGACCAGATCCTCTTGAACGTTTAATCACTACACATATAGTCTGCAGATTACATCACGAAATTGAAATGTAATTAACTATTGTTACCAATACTTATCACTGCACAAATCGCATTTTCATCGTTGGCATCCTTTTATAAACAAAACACATGCGGCAAGCGTTATGGTAGTCTGTTTGGTTTGTGTTGAAAGTTTTGTGTGATATGTATTGCTTTTGCAAGATTATGCTTATATTTCCAGTAAATTAATTTGGTAAATTCAGAATATCATAATATGTCGTTACTTCATTACCTAAATTGACCTTTTGTATTATGTTTATAGATTTTGAGTGGATTTTATGTACTTTATTTGACGTAGCAATGGTAGCAGAACTTGAAGATACATCACCGCAGTATCACGGCCCACAGTCGACTGTCGTATAAGTTTCCTAGCCAATTATAACATCCCAGATCATCATAACCTATATCCCTAAGATTTATCAGCTTTGAACCACTTGCTTCCTTTTGATCATACAAATGAATATTTTCCAAGAGGTTTTCCGTTTAAAATTCTTTGTGCCCTCCTTGTTTCTCCCAATTTTGTAACATGTGTAGCCCTTCTGAGACTCCATAATTTCGCCATTCTGATAATATTAATTGACTGTAAACCACGTTTATTTCATTTAGTTGCAAACAATTTTATTGCTGATTACTTTTTGGTTTGGTTAAGGTATTTTATAGGCCTTACATGGATAAGTGCCTGTGCCATAACTGACATTAATTTATGATTGATAATTATTTATTAAGCTGAATCATTTTACAGAGTAGAAAGAAGTGAATTTAAATGCTGGCCTAAGCAGTTTCATGTCATGATTAAACATTTGATTGTAGGAGGAAGATTGTTTAGTAACTTTATTCCATTGCAATGAACTCCTTTTTCAAATTGACTGATGTTAGTTGGTGGCACAAGGAACTTATATCTGTATCTTGTAGTTATATTGTACAAGGTAAAGTTGTCGCCGTGCGTAACTAATTAAGAACTACACCATGAAAAGGTTTGGAGTAATGAATGAATTCACATTTTCTTGATCTAAGCACTAGTTGGAGGTGAGTGGTCAGTTTCAGGCCCTGGCTGCTTTGCTCCCGGGGAAAGAACCCTCAGTAACAGGCTTGATGGTCCCCAGTGCCAGTCTGAACGACGTGGAGAAGAGAAAATTCTTGACCACACTGGGACTCAAACTCTGACTCCTTGGTTGACCTGCCTGTAGCCAGTCGCAGTACCGACTATGCTATCTGAAGTCCGACTTATATTGTGTGTATATGAATTTATTTGACATTTTTTTATTTTGTTCACAAACACATGATGAGAGGAAAAATTTGCTGACTTGCAGAAGAATATAAAATTTCTTAAATAATTTCCTGTCAGTGCATGCCTTTTATACACTGTTTTCACTTTTGAATATGTAAATAATTCTGGGAAAGCTCTTACTGCCAATGGGTTTCAGTTCTGTTAAATTTATAATTAAGGATCTCGAAGGCAAAAATGTGTTATGTTTTCAAGAGCAGTATAGTGCAACATTAAGAAATGCAGTTGAAAATTTGATTTTACTGGGTTCATGAAAAAAGTGTAATTTTCTCATTTCCTTCTTTGCTGTTAGGTTTTTAGTGACAATTGTAAGTACCAATTAGTTATGATTGTGAACCTAATGGCCAGACTATTTGTAACTCTAATTCTCCGTTATATTGCAGTATGGCATATTATTCACTTTCACATTATTTGATTAAATCGTAGTATCAGCAGTTCTGAAATTTGGCCAGACTGATCCATATATAATGTTGTGTTAATTCATTTTAAGTGATAATAATAGCATACTCATTAAATACCATTTTCATAAGTGAACAACTTTACCATGTACTGGGCATTGGCCAGGTTTATAGTAAAGTAATACAGTGTTTTGTGCAAAATAGTTCTGTAATGAAACAAATAAGGATGTGTGAACATGCATGTATGCTTTGGAAAATCTTGCAGCAGACTGTTCATGGAAGCTGAATATGAACCCTTTTTTTTAAGTGGGGATGCCATTTTGTATATATCTCTTACTTCATAAAATGTGTTACTGCACTGGTTTTACAACTTTCAGATTGTTGATTCCCATATTATGGATCCCGTATTGCTTCAGAAGCAGGTTCGTGATAATGCAGAAGATCTTAGGAATCATATGCAAGAATTAAAAAACTGGGAAGCTGAAATGAAGCGGAAGGAATCAGAACTTCTCGCAAGTGCTTCTGGTAACCAGGTTTGTGTAATTCATTACTAATTTTATCAGCAGTTGATATTAACATTTCCACTCCTATGGCAAGGTAGATTCAACATCCAATATAGTATCAGGTCCTATGCTAAGGCTAACTTGTCTTTTATTTAAATCGGCACATTGTGAACTATTCCACATTTGTTTGATAAATGTATGAAATGCCTGATCTCTTATCATTTATCCAGCAGGAAATATTCCTAGTACAGTGAAAACTATACCTATTTCATCAATATTTATCAGGCCATAATATGTAATTTCTGTGTAAGTGGAAAGTGTGCATTGTTTTTGCTTTTTCGTGCATAACAGATGCACCTGTATTTATTATAACAAAAGTATATGTAATTGAAGATACCGACCTATGGAACTTAAATAGCTGACACAGGTTCCTTAATTAGACTGGACTGAACTTTGCTTCATTTACTATTGGTATTTATGACCTGTACAGTGAGTGCTTACTACCCTGATCACTGGGATTTAGTTACCAGCAGGGGTGGGAGTTATTCTTATCATCACCATCCAGGCAGGTTTTTCAGTCATTTTGAAACTCAGGAGCTGTAATTAGAATTACATTATTGAGGACTTAATTTTTTTACATCACACATTATTTTATCCTTATAAGTGACACACTTTAGAGAAGACAGCCATGTAAAATGGCTCTGTGAAATGTAATAGAATTTTTATAGCAATTTTATTAAACCACCCCTTTGAAAATGTTGCTTCTTTTACAGGCACTTCCACCTGTTCGCAGTAAAATAAAAAGAACATCTATAGACCAGAAAAGTAAACATGAGAAACAGAATGAAAGGCCGGTGAGGATTTCTGGATATGATTATACCGCTTGGGACAAATTTGATGTGGTTAGTTTTACATTAATTCTTGCCAATGAAGCAGGTTCTACGGAAAACACTAATGTTGCAATTACACTGATTTTCTGTTCTGTGAAGATGTCTTAAACAAATGTTGTAAGGTAGAGGTAATGCCATCTCTGTGCTTAATTAATTAAGCACTGTGTCATGGAGATATATGGGGGAATGGAGGTCTAGCTCCACATATTCTTAACTTCAGCACTTTATGGTGAGTGGTCAGCATCATACCCTGGCCACTTTGCCCTTGGGGATAGAGCCTCCAGTGCCCATTGTATAGACTGGTTTGGCTCCAGAGCCAGTCTGGGTGAACCCCAATTCCTTGGCCATCCAGCCTGATCACTATACCGACTGAGCTATTTCAGCTAGACATTCATAAAATGTGCTTGTTATTTCTTGTACATTAAATTCCTGCTTGTCCATTATCCAAGCATTTGGAATTTTCATGCAACTGGCAAAAATTTCAAAGAAAATTTATGATTTTATGAAGTTATTTCAAATGGAAAGCTGTAATGTGAATATGTTCACCTGGAATACAGTAGTTCTACCAGCTGCCACTAGTAATACTGTCATCTTCCTTCATGCGGGTGCCATTACACTTATAGTGATGCATGAGGTGAGTTGAATTTATGGTCATATTACAGTACGTCCAAAAACCTTTCACCCTTCAGTCAGATGTGTCTCCCAGGAAGGTGCTCATGCAGAACCAAAGTGGAAACATGTTGCTTTGACTTTGAAAGAGAAAATACAAATATTAAGACATTGGACGAGAGTGAAAATTGGATTCTGTAAGAATTTTCCTCATGCAGATTCATGTAACCAGCACACCCCATTCCCCATACATCCTGAATAACAGAGTTTATGGAACTGTGTTTGCATAAAGTTCCCCAATATAAGGGAAGTCAATAGCACCAACCAAAATTTACTGTGCAACTTCAAAAAAATGATGTCCAGTCTCTTATCGTGTACACATTTAGTGGTGAAATGTATATTGTCACATGTCACAGTGACTGAAGATGGGGGTTTGGATTGATAATTGGATTTATTAATAACCTGCAGGTTATAACTGCAATTAATTATTACACTGTTGCTGCTTTATACAATGTACAGTCACTCCACACTAATCTCTTCAGTCTAGCTGCACTAGTGTTCTTGAGTTTATAACATGGGAACTATAACAGTTTCACTCAATCACACACCCCAGATTTTACACATAAATAAAGTCTTCTAATCACATGTCAAGTCTTCACAGGCCAACCTCTAGTTCTTCAACTATGAACTTCCCGTGGCTATCTCCTTGCTTGCAGGCTTGCTTATGCTCCTGTTATTCACAACTTGTAACTGCTTTACTTATATGGCCGAGGAATGTACATGGACCTGTAGTAAACACATATCAGATGATCACTATTCAGCCAGCCTATTGGAGTGATGGTTTGACCTACAGAAAAAACATCCCATGATCACTATCCACTGTTGTGATGTCTCTGTGAACACAGAAAACACAGCTACACAGCTTCCTCTATTATTGCATAACTTAGCAATGGATTGTTTACCAAGAATCCTACCAGTTTTGTGAACTTATCCTTTGTTCTTCAATCATTTGGCTATGTAACTTTATGGTTCACTTCCTGCCTTGACATTATCTTCTAGACAAGAAATAGAACAACCCCCACCTGTAACAAAAATGTCAGCTTCTGAACCATTACCAACTTATGAAGCTAGGGGAATGTCTTATTAACAGAATCCGCCTTTATAATGTCCCTCCCAAATGTAAATTTTCTTGTCTTTGTTCACATACTGTGAAGTAACAGTGTATTTCATATCCCTAGAGATGCAAACTTTTGTTATGCCTTGTAGTGATGAGGTGAGTCATACATCTGTGTGTGTGTGCGCGCGTGCCCACGCATGAATTTTTAAGTGTTATTAAATTTTTACAAAATAGCACTGTATAATCTGCAGCACTAGGCTTGGTAGTAAGAAGGCTTCTATATGTCTGGTGACATTTTCGCTGACCAGATATTTTTTATTTTGAAGGATAAGGCATGTGAAGAACTTGATATTGGAGGACATGAAGAATCTGAAGAAGATGGTGATGACAGAGTCAGTGATACTGAGGAAAAACGGCTTAGAGAAGAAGCAGTTTATGAAAAGATAATGGTAAGTTTACAGAATTAATTTCAGCTCATCATAGCTTCTTGAAGTATACAACTGTACAAAAAATTATTTTTTTTATAAATGGTGAGCGACCTCTCTGGATGACTTCACATGGAATGACTCATAAGTGTATGTAGAGCACAGGACAAAATTCCAGTACCATAGCTGCTGTAGGTTGACTTGAAATAAAGGGATACTGCAGTGCTGTGATATTGCAACTCGCTACCAGCCAAACTGTGCATATACCACTGCACAATACATTGCTGATAAAGATTAACAGTTTTCAGGAAGATTCAGTTTTAGTTTGTGTTGGTTGGCTATAAACCATACTTTCTGTGAAGCTGAAACCAAACTTTATCAACTTTCTCAGAAACAGTTCATCCTATGAAGGAAGGTTACATGACACAAACTGTTGATTTAATTTCACTTTAAGTGCTTTATCTGATGTAGTGTTCCAGTTGTTAATTAGATTTGTCAATGGTAGATGTGTATCTGGTATAAATTAACACTGACACAAATGATAGGTGTAAAAAATAAATTTGGAAATTGTGTACTCCAAATAGACATACAGTTTTCTAGTTCTTAATACTGGAGATGAAGGGATAATATATCTTAATATATGGAAAATATAGACTACAGCTAATATTCCAGTCCCTTATGAATAACTTGGTAACTGATTTATTTTACATGTGTTTTAGGGAAATGATTTAGTAAAGAATCAAAAGTGGAAGGAGGCCATCCAATGCTACAGCCGAGCCATTAAATGTTTCCCTTATGACGCTATTTTCTATGCAAACCGTGCCCTCTGTTACCTAAAAACACAAGAGTAAGTTAATCTCTTATCAGAATAAAACAGCTGTCATGATTCATTCCTTATTTTCATTATATGTATGAAAACTAATAGATTATGCCAGTAATAATTTACAGACATAATTATACCCATCACTTCGAGGGGGAACCCAGAAAACTGGAATTGTTTATAAAAAATTCTGTATTTATTTTACATAACAAAACTTTAATCACCTTCAAAGTACTCTCCATTTGATCCAGTGCACTTGTCCAAACGTTTTTTCCATTGCTCAGAACACTTTTTATATTCATTGCTGGTGATGCCTTTTAGTGCTTCTGTCGTTTTTTTGTTTACATCTTCAACATCAGAAAAACATTTTCCCTAGAGGTCTATTTTCATCTGAGAAGATAAAAAAAAAGTCGCACAGGGCAAGATAGGGTGAGTACAGGGGGTGAAGCAAGGGCATTGTGCCATTTTTGGTCAAAAATCGCTGCACACTGAGTGCTGTGTGGACAGGCACATTGTCATGATGAAAAAAACCATTCACCTCCTTGCCACAAATCAGGATGTTTTCTCCTTAAACTGTTATGCAACCTTTTCAAAACTTCCAAATAATAATTCTGGCAATCTCCTAGAATGATTTGATGAATTTTTGTCACGTATTCATCAGTTCGGGCAGTCGAAGGACGTCCACTTCGAGGTTGATCATCAGTTGACATTTCACCACTTTTGAAACAGGAGAACCGTTCATAAATTTGTGTTTTACCCCTGGCGGCTTCCTTGTAGGCTGTTTGTAGCATAACATCCGTTTCTGCTGCTGTTTTCCCCAAAAGGAAACAAAACTTCACAGCAGCACATTGTTTGTGTGAATCAGCTATTAAAAATAGATGAATTATAAAAAAGTCACTTGGAAAAAATTCTCCACACATTAACTCAAACTTCTCTGATGATGCCAGCTGGCATACTGATTCAGGAACGTGCTGCAAACAACCACCTAGCGGCGTAAGACTCTACTACAAGCCTTCTAGAAACAAATTCCAGTTTTTTGGGTCCTCCTTCATACATAGGGCTGGTGGGTTATTTTACAGTGCTTTCAGAATTGCAGACTACTTTGTGTCAAATGGTAGGATCATAGATGAGTGAGAATTGGAAAGAATTTGGAAGGAAGTGGTGATGTGCTGATTGAGGTAATATCCTGCCTGCCTGCCTGAAGGAACCAAGGAAAACCTTGAGACATCAATTAGGATAGCTGGTATCGTGACCAAGATTCGAACCCAGTGCATCAAAAATACAAGTCTAGAGTATTAACTGCTAAATCAGCCTGTTCAGTTCTGTTACTGTAGAACATCGTTATGAATCTGATATAGCATATCCCTCACTGCTAATCCATTTATTATTATTATTATTATTAGAGGGGGTGGGTTCCCCATGCACTTAGACCAGTTATTGGTCCATTGTGCATCCCCCTTTAATTTCTACTGTCCCCATACCCTACCGGTACTGGTGCGTGCTATCAGACCTGTTCAGCCAATGGGGTTGGCCGTCGGTACCTGATATTTCCCCTATCTACCTGAGGCATTGGAAACTACTTGGGCAGGAAATTGTTGCCTAATTTTGCTCAGAGGTCTCCTAGAGACAGGATCTTTTACGTGCCGTAAATCTACGACACGGGACCCATGGCTTAAAGTCCCTCCGGAGGACTTGTTCCCTGAATTTTTCTGCCCTTAAAAATTCCACGACCTCTGCCGGGTTTGAACCCGCGTACCTTGAGTCATGAGGTGGGAATGTTACCCCTAGACTACGGGGGCCGCTACTGCTAATCCAAAATGGAAGATGAAATCAGGAAACACACCTGACTTGAAAATACCAAGTGATCATGGTACCTAAAACACACTAGTTTATAGATTTATTGTCTCAGACTGTCTCATCTGGCTTAACTGTCAGAGAACATACAGAATACACATGTAATTACATTTTAGTTTACTTTCCTTTTCTTACAAAGTGAGAGTTACTGTATTATCCTGCCTGTCATCCTAGAACTAAACCCTATGTTTCACACTGACCAAGCATATCTACGTGGGTTACTTCAAAAGTCATGGTAACATAATTTTTCCGAAATTTTGAAAGCTGCGACCTGAATTTCCAAATTTGACGCTGAGAGACAGCAACGTCTGATTTTTAATGATGCTGCTAGATGATGCAGAAGTCAAAAGACAACAAAGCAAGTCCAGCACGAAGTCAGCGTGATCATAACCTTCGTCAAGAATGAATGTTAGCCGGCTGGAACAGTGTTGTTACATGAAAATAGCAGTGCTTCATGGCAGAAATGCGACTGAATGTCACTCAGAGCTTGTGGAAGCTCTGGGTGATCGTGCTCTACCAATCAGAAATGTTGCAAGGTGGATAGAAACATTCCAACGTGGAAAATGTAGTGGACGCTCTGTGTCCGTTTGTATCGATGTTTCTTGTGCTGTTATCGCCCAGTGGATGGAGGAAGATATGCACTGGTCTTTGAAGGAGTTAGAGAGACATACAGGGATTGACCAGGCAACTGTGTATTGAATTTTATGGAAAGATCTACACATGCGCAAGATTGCAGCGAAGTGGGAGCCACACAGCAAACAGTGTCAAGAACCGTTTACGACGTTGGGGATGGGAAGTACTACACCATCCTCCATGTTCATCCGACCTTTCGCCATGTGACTATGACTTAATACTCAAATTGAGACAGCCATTGCGAGGGAAACGCTTTTGTACACGAGAGGACATTTCCAATGAAGTTCAGCATGATATGACAAGATTTGGAGATGGTGAAGCTGATGGTATTCTCCGTCTTCCTCATTGCTGGCAGCGAGTACTTGATACACTTGGAGACTACTTTGAAGGTTGCTAGTCGTAATGTAAGAATTCAAATTTAACTCACATTGAATTTTTTATTTCATAATCACAATTGAATTTTTCGAGGATTAGAGAATGAAAAAAAAACAGTCATTCCATATTGTGCAATTTTTCTAGCCTAGTATACCTATGCCCCTTCACATCTACCTGATCTGACTAAGCCAATCAGAGGGGTATATCATGCCCTTTTATAAGTATATTTTGAACTTTCTTCACTCTAACATGTTTGCCCCCAAAAAATTAGTTGCCATGACTTTTGAAGTAACCCACGCACAAGGTGGTTCAAATATGACCCGGACTGATTTGTGTGTAAATAAGCCGCACTGCGCAGGAGCTGTGCGACCTTGAGAGAGTGAAGCCACAACCTCCACCCTCCCTCCTGTTCGGGTTAGAACCTGTTCAGTCCTGTCTGAGAGTTGCTAGAATGATGGGCGAACAGAAGGTACCACAGAGTGTGGAACAATGCATTGTGATCAAATTCCTCGTTGGAGAAAACGTCCCGTCCACTGAAATTCACCACAGACTCCAACAACAGTATGGGGAAGAGTGTCTCTCATGGACCCATGTGTTTGAGTGGTGTAAGTGCTTCAGAGAGGGCAGAGAGCATGTGGAGAATGAACCGCATGATCGTCAGCCACGAACATCTGTCACCGAGCCAAACATTGATCGTGCAGATGCGCTTATTCGTGAGAATAGGCACATCACTATCAAGGAACTTGGAGCAATGCTGTCCATCAGTGTTGGTAGTGTAGAAGACATCATGAAATACCACCTGCACTATCGCAAGATGAATGCACGGTGGGTACCACGCACTTTGATGGATGTGAACAAAATGGTGCGCATGCAAGCTGCCAGTCATCTCCTACAGCAGTTTGAAGATGAAGGTGATGCATTTTTGAAGTCTATAGTGACCACCGATGAAATGTGGGTGCACTACTTCATTCCAGAGTCCCAGCAGCCATCACACGAGTGGCGGCATACCAGTTCTTCCAAACCCAAGAGAGCGCGGAGGAGCCGTTCGGCAGGAAAAGTGATGGCAACATTCTTCTGGGACTGGCAGGGGTTTATCCATGTAGACTTTCTGACAGATGCCAGAACAGTCATTGCAGCTTATTACTTAGACCTCCTGGCAACAGACATGAAGGAAAAGATTCAATCCAAGTGGAAGACAGGTGGAAAGCTGGTAGCCTTCCTTCAAGACAATGCACGCTCCCATATGGCCAAAACAACAATGGAAACCCTCCAGAAATTGAAATCGAACCTTCTGACACATCTGCCATTACAGTCCTGATTTGGCCCCAAGTGATTTCTACCTGTTCGGAAGGCTCAAACCAGATTTGCAAGGCATGTCTGCTAGTTCATAGCTAAGAGCATACAATTTAAAGTCATGTAATATTTAATTAAATAGCTTTGCTGTTTAAGCCAGCACATTAACATATACCAGTATTTAATGTGCTGGCTTAAATAGCAAAGCTATTTAATTAAATATTACATGACTTTAAATTGTATGCTCTTAGCTATGAACTAGCAGACTTTATAATTACTCTCCTTAATGGGTACATTTGTCTGCATTTGTAATCCCTTAAAGGTAATCTAAATAAAAGAAAAATGGAAAGTATTGAGGTTTTCACCCTGGTAAGTGAAAATTGCATCCTTCTTGGTTGTGACATTGTGGTTAAAGGCAGATACCCAAATTTAAGAGGAACATCCTGCCTCCATCTTCAGGGTTGAAGTGTATAGGTTCAGGAATTAGCTTGGTTATATAGGCAGGTTGCAGAGAAGTTGATCATGTGACCTAAAGAAGGTATATAGAAAGGAACTCACTCTGTGCTGCTGGGAAAAATGGATAATGAACAGCCCATACAAGGGGCCGATTTGTTTTCAGTCACAAGTGTGATATACTCGTAGAACAGTGATAAAGGACAGGCCTTTCCAGGGATGTAGGATTTTTTACATGGGGTATTTTTTCTATGAAGATGACTTGGGCTTGAAAGCATCAAGCCTATATAGCCATCACCTATGAATATGGGAGGGTGTACATTGGACAACTGATCATTCCATCGAGACCAGGATTAGTGACTGTTACTGTAATGTCTGACTGTATCAGTCAGAGAAGCTGGCCATGGCAGAACAGCTTTAGCCTCGGTCATTATATCCTGATAAACAACACCATCCTGGCTAAGAAATTCAGGAACAGGGACCAACTAGTAAGGGAAGCGACAAAGATCAAGGTCCACCCTGACAACATGAAAAGGGAGGATGGGTTCTCCCTTGCAGACTCTGGAAGCCTCTCATCCACTTGGTTAAAGAAAAGAAGAAGTTCCTTCCCAAGCACAAACCAGTTTCTCCAAACATCCCTTGAACCATTCCCACTTCCCAGCTGCAGAGGTCCAGAGCAGGGCTGCCTCTTCCCATTTCCCATGTCCAGATCCCCTCCTCTCTGAGGAGAACTTAAGAGAGGCTGTGAAGGAGGCTGTCTTTTGTTCCTTTCTGTCTGTCTGTCTGTCTCTCTCTCTCTGTAATTCTACTTTTCTTACTAAAAACTATATTGGGTCCCTGGAAAGGGTAGTATTTTCTCACTATTCCATTTCCACCTTGTGATTCAAAGTAAATTTGCCTTTTATAATGGCTGTTCACTACCCATTCTTCCAACTGGCCCAGACTGAGTTCCTTTCTCCATCCCCTCTCACTGGATTACATGACTGCCTTCCTTGCAACTTGCCTACATAATCAAGTTAACTCGTGAACCTACAGACTTCAGCCCAGAAGACCACAGTTTGAACAAAATAGACTGTTTTCTCCAGCTGTTCGAGAATAGTAATTCAATTATATTTCCAGCATTGGTCACAGGATTCTTCAGTATATGTGCCTGAAAATTTTAATCTTCTAAACTGTAAGTCAGTGAAGAAAAGAGAATAGGACAAGTGTTTTTATATGTGTAATAAATGTTGGTTTTGTAACAGTAGCCATAAGATGCCTAAGATATGTCCATACATAACTTGTCATTGTAAACCATGATCCAGAGATAAAAATTACAAAAACAAAATAAATGTTTATACGATTCTAGTGTTTTGGGTAAGGTATTATATCTTTGACACAGAGATCTAAGCAGAATTCATAAGGCCTACTCTGCTATTGCAGAGATTTGTAGTCATTTTTAAAACAACAAAGGTGTAAGCTAACCCTTTCTGTAACTCATTATTAACTCAAATTTTATCCAGTGTGTTATATTTCTTCTTCACTTCAGTCTTAGGTCAGCGGAAGTAGATTGCACGACGGCACTACAGTTGGATTCTAGTTATGTGAAAGCCTATCAGCGTCGTGCAATGGCTCGAATTAGATTGGGCCAGTTACAGGAGGCAAGAGCTGATCTGCTAAAAGTGATGGAACTAGAGCCAAAGAACATGGAATCAAAAGCAGAATTAATGAAACTGGAAAAGAAAATCAATATAAAACCTCAACAAAAAGTAATTCTTTCATATTATTCCTAGTATTTGTGTCATGAAGATACTGATATTAACCAGCTTTAAAAAGTCTTCACTGAATAAGTATCCTGTATAAGAACCCTTTTGTGAATGTGTGATTGAACCGTCTGCTACCCTCTACCTTTCCCTGGAAAAGCAACTAACATTATGGTAACAGTAGTAGAACCTCAAGCAACAAAAAATATATCTTCATCCTGAATTGGCTTATATTACATACCATCCCTCTCATGTACATTTAGTTAACTAAAATGCCATATTACTTTGAATATAAGATGCTCTTGAGTTTAAGATGCAACCAGTTTTTGAATGTGGATTTTAGGAAAATAATTAGAAAAGTGCACATTCCTTGAATTTAAGATGAACCTCAGTTTTTCAGTGGAAAAATGTGTGTCTTATATTCGAAGTAATACAGTATTTTTTTCAGTCATATGACAGCGTCACTATAACAGCATCATACAAAGTCAATAAGAGGCCATGCAATAGCTCTGGTTAGGCATTGACTTCCCATCATGGCAGCCTAGGTTTGATCTCAGGTTAGGTCATGTGGAATTTTTGGTGGACAAAGTAGCACTGGGGCATGTTTTCACTGAGTACTCTGATTTCCCCTGCCAGTTCTTATTCCACCAAATGCTTCATACTGATCATCTGGGGCTCATACACTAGGCCTACTTGTGGCCAGTGTACTGGGTGGACTCAGTCTCACCCACCAAATTAGAAAACATATATACCAGTTATCAAATAATTTGATTTTGTTCAGTACAGGTATCTCTGTAGCAGTACTGAATGAGCAGCTTGGATGAAATAATTATTTGTATTATTACATCTGTTGAAGTTAAAAATGATGTTTATGAATGTTTATTTTTTGACAGTCTGTGAAAGACTCTAGTTCAGGAGCTTGTAGTATTGTGATCCAACAGACAGAAAAACAAGCGCAAACATCATCTGTTATATTTGAAAGTGAAAAAGTAGAGGAGGAAACAGGCAAACAAAATGAAAGTGAATGGTCATGTTCTAAACAAATCATAAAGGAAAAGAATAAACTAATTCCTCGGACATCTGGCAAGAAAACTATTGTTGCAACAGAAATAGAAAAGAAGGCAAAGTGTTCATCAAACCAAGAAATTGTGGACGGCCAAAGTGGAGAATCATGGTTGCTGCAGAATATCGCGTCTCAAGAACAGATATGGCCTACACACGGACAAGTTACATTGGTACAGTCAATACACAAACCTCCTCATTTACGTTCTAAAGTAAGTATAGTTACCACAGTACAATTTATGCTTGTTTTCAGGAAATTTAGAGCTCCAAACTAACTCACATTGTTTCCTATAAAACTCTTCAGTTCAAACCATATTAAATTGCCTACAGTGCTACAGTTCAGGGACTGGAATTCAAAGGAAACACTGGAGGAACAAATCAGGTCTGTGTCTGCAATGAGAACATGTATGCTGGTTGTGTTATTGAATGGATATAATGTTCTACTTTGTGTTTCTATTAAAATCGTGTGTTCAGATGAAATAAAGTGAACCTTTTGCTTATCTCAATTTGTACTTAACATTTAACATACAGTATTGATATCTCATGCATTTGAAAATGTGATATTGCTGAGTAGTTAAGATATTTTGTAAAGGTGAGACAGTGACAGGCCAGTGTTCCAGGAAGACCAAGTTATTTGTGTTCCACTTTGTAAATAAGTTTCATATGAAAATATTCAGTTTTTGATAAGGAGGTCTCTTTCAAGGTGTGGAATTTAATTAGCGGAGTATTTTTTTCTTTCATGGATAGATTTAGCTATTTTTCCACTTCATATATGCATACACAAATATGCATCATGTCGGAAAAGAAAATCTTGTTATGTTTGTAAATAAGTAGGTGCTACTGATTGTGTTTTTTTTTTTATTTAGAAAGCTCTGAAGAGAATTGAAATTAGAGAAGTTGATAATACCTCTAATCATGAGTGTGAAGAAAGTACCAAAGCATGCACTAATGGAGCTGCTTCAGTGGGAAATGAAAGTAATCAAATTGCTCTTGGAATAGATGCAAGAGAGCACAAAAGTGACAAAGAGCAAACATTAGAGGAAATCTGTGAAGTTATTGATGCAGAAAGTAATAAAATTAAGCCAGTGCCTGAAAAGGCAAATTCTGTGTCACAGAATACAGTCACTGAACTTCTGTCAGGAAAGGAATCAGAAGAAGTTCCCCCCATCCCTAAAACATCAGTGCAGTTTCTAGCTGCTTGGAAGAAAGTAAGAACAAATCCTCGGCTCAGGTACCTCTATTTGAAGGTATGTTAATAATAAGTGGCTATGCATGGAATAAATAATCCTAAAAGGAAGTATGCATCTATCTCTCTATCTATGGCTGTACAGCCCTTTGTTGGACCTTGGTCACTTTTTCAGTTTCTTGATCATTTACACAATTGGTAAAACTCCTTGGATGCAGGATCAGTCGATTGCAAGGCCAATACCTGCACACAGGACAGCACAAACAGAATAAACACACACAGACATCCATGCCTCAAGTGGGATTTCAATCCACGATCGCAGTGTGTGGGCGGGCGAAGACAGTTCATGCCTTAGACTGCATGGCCACTGTGATCAGTGACATATCTGTCAGGTTACATTAATCCTAATCAGTAGCGGTGTTTGCTTAATTCAGACACCTGAACAACAAAGAGGTTCTCCATTTTTCAAGAATGCCATTTAGTTATTAGAAACTTCATAAGATTTTAGGTTTCCACATGGTGAATATTAAGATTAATCTTCAGAGATCTGAACTGTAGTTTAGTAGATAGGTACCAGACTATGGGGCATCACATCCCAGAAGACCATGATATTAATTAGAAAAAAGTTTTAAGTTTTTTATAAATTTCTGAATTAGTTTTAATATAAGTTGAAACTACTTATATTTCAGAGTACTCAATATTATTAAAGCTGGATTTAGTTTTACATAGGTGTAGTTGTAAAGGCTCCAGTTTATTTGTTATTACTGTGGTGAGCAACTTGAGGCTATTTTTATGTCTGCATGTTCATACAAAGAGTGTTATTATTTACAAGAGGGATGTGGCACAGAAGCTATGCCAAGCAGAGAGATATATATAAGTTGTCAGATTATTATTTCCTTGTATTAACACCATTATCATCACCGTCATTTGAACTGAAAAAAGCATGAAAGTATAATTTGATTTTTATCATTTGGCTGCCTACGGGCTGGACGACCAAGGGGTTGGAGTTTGAGTCCCGGTAGGGTAAGAACCCCCTCTTCTCCATATTGTCCAGACCGGCTCTGGAGCCCACCCAGCTTCCTATCAAATGGGTACTGGGGGCTCTTTCCCTGGGGGTAAAGCGGCAGGGGCATGAAGCTGACCACTCACTTCCAGCTAGTGCCGAGGTCAAGAAAATGTGAATCTATAGATCCACTCCCACATACCTTCATGGCTTAGTGCTTATTTAGTTACGCACAGGGAGAACTTTACTTTTACCTGTCATTAAATTAGCCCCTTAGAGGAAGAGTGGTTGCTCACATCACCATTAACAGGAATAATCTTGTTTTCTCCACATAGCTTGACACTCAGTCATAATTTACTACAGTGCATAATAAAGAGTGCTTCTCATATTAATGTGTATAATTTCAGCAAATTCCTGGTGCAGATTTTCCAAAAATATTCCACGATTGTTTGGAGAGTAGCACACTTAGTGACATAATATCAACCATAAAAACTGGATTTCTTCAGTTCAAAGAGCCTGCTTTACCATACATTATGGGATTGTCCAATGTTCGAAGATTTGGTGCTCTAGCAATGTTCATGTCACAAAACGACAAAGCAGGTGAGGCATGACTCAAGTTATGTTTAGAAATATCTATAGTAAACTGTTGAGTCTGGTGATATTGGAAAGTTCATGGACTAGGTCAAAAAAGAAATGCTGGTTTAACTTACTCAATTTCGACTGTCATCTCCTTGGGGACTCATACAGAGATCCCATCGTTTTTCCACGCTTCAAAAGCACCATGGAAGTCATTTTCCTTAATGCTGTGACGGATCACTTGTGATTCCCTTTGGTTGTCAGACACTGTTTCAAAACCTTGTCCCTTCAGTTTCATTTTCAATTTTGGAAACAAAATGAAATCACAGGAGGCTAAGTCTGGTGAGTAGAGAGGATGGGGAACAATAACCATGTTGTTGTTAGTCACAAACTCTGTGGTTTTCAGGGACGTGGTTGTTGCCTTGTTTCTGGATCGTAACTGTAAATCCAACTTTTGTCACCCGTTATGATCTTATGGCTCAAGGCACACATTTACACACCACTGTTTTTGATCGTTTGTCAAGAGTTGGGGGAACAAACTTCACAGCAATATGGCTCATGTTCAATTTTTCTGTTAAGATTTCCTGGCAAACTCCATAACTGATCCCAGCGGTGTCTGCAAGCTCATGGATTGTTCAGCATCAGTCTTTGTGGATGAGTTCTTGAATTTTTTCAAACATTTTCTATCATTTCGGTGTTGCTTGGTCACCCTGATCATTTGTCATCTTCAACTGACACTTGACCAGTCTTGAAACATGAATACCATTCAGAAACCACTGTCCTGCTTAATAAAGAATGTTCTCCAAAAGCCTCACAAAGCACTACAAGGGTTTCGGTATCGGATTTACCGAGCTTCATGCAAAACTTGGTGTGGACACATTGCTTGATTTTATCATCCATTACAGACAAAATGAAACATGAAGTAGAAAAAACACTCATATAAAAACAATGTGTGTTCACAGTGCGGTGTCAGTGGCAGGCTGATGTAATAGGTGTATGGAATTGTGACCTGGCCTCCCCTCTCATCATCTTTCACTTAGGCAGTTACAACAATAACAGAAACTCTCTCTCTCTCTCTTTCTCTGTGCATGCATGCTTGCGCAACAACCTACAACTTTGTGATCTGAATATGTTGCACCATATCTCAGTGTTTAGGCATAACAGAACTGTCAGAGGTTCTTAAAATACTTTAAATATTAGTGCACTTTTTGCATTTTCTCAGTGTGTTGCAAGTTATGTGTCATGGTGTTCGAAAATTTTACCAACTTTGTTGGAAAGTTGCCAGATTTAATGAATGCAATATTTATCTGCTGTGAACTTTCACTACTACTACTACTAGTGTAGTAGTAGTAGCAGCAGCAGCAGCTGCTGCCACCACCACTGCCACCCCTTTTATAACATCCATAATGTTATAGTTTTGATGGGTGGATATTTCTGTTATTGATTCAAAGTGTGAAGAATTGTCATAATATACATTCCTTTGTTTTATTCTTCTGAATAGGAATCAAGGAGATATTAAAATACTGCAAAGAACAAGGTGAATGTTCAGAAGAAGACTGTACAGACATAGTGAAGAAGTATGAGTTATATTAGAAATTTATAATCATTCCTGCAGATTAAATGTATCATGTTAAACTGTAATAAAGATTTTCAGTATTCTGAAAATATGTTTATTGGAAGAGATCAAAGAGTGTGACAAGATGGTAGTGGTATTATAGTTTATAAGATGTACAAAACTTTGAAATCAGTTATGGAAATTTTTTCCAGAGTCTTATTTTAGATCAATAGAAGAACATGATTCATTTAAACCGTCTTGCAGTGCATACACTCATTTATCTC